TCATACCTCTTCTTTCTTGTGATTCTACACATTAGCCCATGAGTGTCTATCTTCAGGCTCCCTGCACAGTGCAATTTGAGAAGCAACCCGTCCCATTTAAAAGGCTTTACACAAAAAGACTTTCTTTTGAAATTTTTTTCACATCATGGCCTCAGTTCCTATGCAATCTTAAAATGACTAGAATCAATGCTATTTCTAAGTCTTTGATGAAGGTGCTCTCTTTGCTGGGGATGACAATCACCTTCTTTTCAACCCACTCATGGATTATCCTCTTTTGCTCAAGGATCACCACCTCCTTGAACTCTTCCCCCTGACGAGTGTCTTTTCTCTCTTTCAAACCCCTTCCATCTAAGTCCCTGACTCACTTTTGATACTTTACTACTTCTTATTGGACTTGATATCTCTTATAATGGGATCTTATATCACTATAACTTTAAATGCACCCTTCATTTATCAATTTGGCCAGATGGTAATTTCCTTGTTAGAACTGCCTACACTTCATCTCTGAATCCCTCACAGCACTGATCAGTCTTTCTATTTCCATTCTAGTAACATCAGACTTATATTTCGTTTCTTTACCTCCATCCCTCATTCCTTCCAAACTCAAACATGTCATCAGATATTTCTGTTCATGTTTTACCCCTGCCTGGAGCTCTGGTCCCCTTTACCAGACTTGTCCCTCCAGACTCCTCCTGCAGAAATTTCCTCTGGATACTCCAGGCTGAGCTAAGCCCCCTCCCTCTCTACTACCTTCATACCCCATCACAACCCCTAGCACTGCACTTACCACATTATACTGAAATCACTTCATAGATGCCTGTCTCTTCCGACGGACTTCTCCATAAGCTCCAAGAATAAACGATGTGTCTTGTACACCCTTGCACTCACAGGATGTAACATAATGCCTGTCACATAGGAGGGACTTGATAAATGTGTGTTGACCTAAACTTAATACATTTTTGCTGAATGATTGAATGACATCGAGGCGACAAGTCCATGAGCTGCCATTTTTCTCCCCTGGACACATGTTTATCTCCTTCTTTCCCTGCCAAAACCCCAACGATTGCTTCACTGTGCTGTCTAATCTTTCTGTCAGATCTCTGACACACAAAACACATGTAATCATTCCATTATGAGGCCTGGCACTAAGTTTAAGCTGAGTGTACAGATTTATTAGATCTTGTACCAGGAAACCAGCGAGGCAGAGAGTTTAGGAGGATTTCCAAAGGGGGATGTAAAATGTTCATGAGCCCCTTGTACTTCAAGGCAGTTCCATGCTCCTGTGGGGGCCTCAACTGTCCTTGCAGATTGTATTTCTCCATCTTCCTTGAAAATATGCAGGCAGGCGATTGCTGTGAACGGACATGGAAAGGAAAGCAAGAGTCAAGAGCATCATGCAACCTGCATATTCACTGCTCACTGTAGCCCAGCTTCACAACCAGCACACCTGACATGACTGCTCACTGCTTCTATGCAAAGGCAAAGTCACACACAGTTCAGACAACCCATCAGTCCAATGTGCACTTTGCACACTGGCTAGTTTGCTCTGCTGGTATGATTGTGAGCACTGGGTGCAGGCCTCAAGAGCACCCAGCGGGTGTTCAGATGGTCCCCTAGGGTTTGCTGTCCCTGATGCCCCAAGAATGTGTCCTTTGCAGATCCTCTCCAAACTTTAAGGCTCAACTTAAATCCTACCTCTTCTAAAAGACTTCATCAACCATTTTAGCTTCCAGGACTCTCTCCCTTAAAGCTCCAAAGATGAATGGCTCCCAGTGTAGCATTATCTTTAAAAGAGAGTTTAGTGTAGAGAGTCCTGGACTGGGGTTTATAAAGCTCATACACCGGTTCCTGGTCCCTCTGTGATATTGGCTAAATCACCTCACATTGCTGAGTTTTTCTTCTCCCCTCCCACCCCTTTCTTTTCTGTCTCCTCTTCTGATCCTCTCTTCTCCCTCTCCTTCTTCTTTCTCCTCCTATATTTTCTTTCCCTCATCCTTCCATTTCCCCAGGAACGATGCTCTCTACTGGGAGGGGTTTGTTGGTGAAGATGCCAAAATGCTGGGTGGGGTGGCAGCGCTATGGCTGGGTGAACTCTACCTCCAGGACACTGCCCTTCAGTGAGGTTTGGGCAAAGTGTCTCAAGTAAAGTGGGGAAAGTAGGGGAAAGCCAGGATTGAATGGGGACTGTATGGGCCTTCAAAGGGTGGGAGAAGAGCAATGCTTGTCAAAAGTAGCAGAGGATGCCTTTGAACAGCTTCAGACCACCCCCAAATGGTAGAGAAATAGGGTCTGAACAGCACTTGGAGGGGCTGCAGACAACAGCTGACATCAGCCTGCAGGCTCCCAATGGGAGCAATGGTGATATTCTCCAGGCAATTAGAGTTGGAAAGCCGCGGCAGCAACAGCTTAGGACAGAATGAGGGAGAGCGAGCTGGGAAAGCTCAGTTCACACTCGGACTGGTTGACCATTTGCAAACAAAGACATTCTTCTGTCCCTCTAATTTTGTTCTTTTTAGCACATGCCTAAAACGTGCTTTCAGTTCACTCAGTCGTGTCCGACTCTTTGTGACCCCATGGACTGCAGCATGCCAGCTTCCCTGTCCATCACCAACTCCCAGAGCCTCCTCAAACTCATGTCCATCAAGTTGGTGATGCTTTGGACATTATGTGCTTTGGACATTAATAAACTAAAGGGCAAGATTCCTGTGTTAGTCAGGGTTCTTCAGATTATATACCTACCTCTATCTATCTATCTAATCTACTTACCTAACAGCAGCAGCATCACCATTATCATCATCTTTTTATCTAAGAAGTGGTTTATTGTAAGGAATTAGCTCACACAGTTATGGAGTTGAGAAGTCCCAAGACCTGCAGTAGGCAAGCTGGAGACCCAAGAGATCTGATGCACAGTTTCAGTCTAAAAGCATGAGAACCAGAGGCACAGATGGGGTTAAATGCCACTCTGAAAGTTGGCGGACTGAAGGCCCAAGAAGAACCGATGTTTCAGTTCCATTTCAAAGGCTAGGAAAGACTGCTATCCCAACTCCAACAGTCAAAGCAGGAGGAGGTTCCTCTTGCTCAGCCTTTCTATCCTATTCAGGTCTTCACCTGACTGGGTGAGGCCCACGCCCACTGAGGAGGGCAGTCTGCTTCCCTCAGCCTAAGGATGCAGACATTAATCCCATCCAGGAAAAGCCTCACAGATAAACCAGAGTAATGTCTGACCAAAGGTCTGGGCATCCTATGGCCCAGTCAAGTTCACACAAAATTCACCATCGTGACTCTACTCCCCCATTTGTCTTATCTCCTGGAAAGGGTTAATAGGTCAAAGAAGATGAGGGCGAAGGTAACACTGGTCTTTTAGGATTTCACTCTTTTTGCAAAAATGATGTCAATCAGTGTAGGTACACTGGAGGATGGGTAGGAGCAGGGTTACTGCTGGGGATGTTTTGTATCCCAAACACTAGTAATTCTTCTAATTTTTACTATTTATTGATCATTCCTTATTTTCTCAGTTGACCTTAAAGCTCTCTTAGGGTAAGGACCCTTCCCCTCCTTATCCCCCCCTCCCAACCTACACACACCATTCAAACAAGGCTGAGCAGGCTAAATGCTGACTAATACACAGACAAAGTCCCTAGGTCTCAGGTAGCCCTGTTACCTGAAACATCTGTTGTGCTCTTTAAAAAGAAATGGTTTCCTTCTTTTAAAGTAGTCCAGATCTCTATTCTATAAATGATGTATAAAATATTAAAGATCCCCCAAACACTTAATTTCTACAATAAGGAATAAAATTAAACAAATCCATCTCAAAAGTTGGAGAAGAAAATGGCAACCCACTCCAGTATTCTTGCCTGGAGAATCCCATGAACAGAGGAGCCTGGTGGGCTACAGTCCATGGGGCACAAAGAGTCGGACAGGACTGAGCAACAAACACACTTCACAGAAGTAATCCTTCACTTAAATGAGGTCTCATCATAAGGATTTAAGCAGGGTAGCAGTGTCCAAGCCTGGACCCCTCCTCCAGGAGCAGAAATTCAAACAAACCCATAAGAATTCAAGTACATAACTTGTGAGGTAAGAATTACCTATTTTAGCAAAGGAAGAATAAGTTAGCCAAAGATAAATGATTACACTTGATTGTATTGATCTAAGGGACTTCCCAGGTGGCACTAGCAGTAAAGAACCTGCCTGCCAATAAAGGAGAGGTAAGAGATGCAGGTTCAATTCCTGGGTAGGGAAGATCCCCTAAAGGAGGGCATGGCAACCCACTCCAGTATTCATGCCTGGAGAATCTCATGAATAGAGCAGCGTGACAGGCTACAGTCCATGGGGTCACCAAGAATCAGACACAACTGAAGCAATTTGCACACAGCACATATTAATCTAAACAAACCCAAGTTTTAAAAATTTTATGTTTTTCCTGCTAAAGTAAGGCTTTAGCTGGGTAGATACATGAAATACATGCCATTTTAAAAACTTTCATGACTGTGTATCTTTGACTTTTTTTAATCTTATTTTTGACATAGCTATATTTTTAAATCCCTAATTAAAACAAGGAAATTGAGATGAGACTTGTATTCCATGTCTTTTAGATGTTATATGTTCAAAAAAATTAAGTATTGAAGCTACTCTACAGGTGACCCTGCTCTATAGTTAGCAGAAGAAAAATTATTTGTAATAATGAAGCTGAGAGCCCGCAGCCTGGGAAGTTACCAATTCAAACGCCTATGTTCCTGTTCAAAAAAGAAAAATCAAAGACTTTGGGTTCTGTGTGAAGCCTGAGTCTCAGAGTAACTAAGTGCCTCCAAATCACATCTGGGCACTTAAACTTTAAGAGCTTATGTGGAGTTATGTGGAAATTCTTCTGAATGGAATCATAGACACTTGGTTTCCAAGGAGTGATCTTTGTCCAGCACAGGTAGACACTTACTCAAGAACTTGGAATGATGGGGTATAGACATCGCGTTCCGAACCCCTTCTGGGAGCTGGCTCATGTCTGTACTGTATCACTGGGGCAACAGAATGACATGCACAGGGAAGAATGGGACGCTGGTCCCAAATGGCCAGTGTTAGGAAGGGTTCCTCTATTCTGACGGGCTGTTCCTTGACCATCAGCCCTGACTGGTCCCTCTCTGTTTGCCGCTTCTGTCCACCCAGAGTCAATCTCAGTGAGTCCATCCTGAAATTGATCTGTATGCAGTCTTCTTGCTAGACAGTCTGCAGCTCTGATGACCTTGGCAGCGGTCATCTGCTGGAGCGTCTGAGCCCTTTTGGACTGGGCAGCACCCCTCTGTGGATGGAAATCTGGAGTACTGCTTTGTCAAAGAAAAGCTGAATTAAAGGCCTTCCTTGGACTTGTCAGGTAATTTGCCTACAATGCAGGAGACCTGAGTTTGATCCTTGGATTGGGAAGATAACCTGGAGAAGGGTATGGCAACCCACGCCAGTATTCTTGCCCGGAGAATCCCATTGACAGAGAAGTCTGGCGAGCTACAGTCCACAGGATCACAGAGTCAGACACAAGTGAAGTGACTGAGCACCCCCATTGCTTCCTTATTTTCCCGACATAATGAGATCGATACTGCCCCCCAGAGCCTGAGATTGCCCAGACCAGAGCCCTTGGGCATTTCCTGGCCCTTTCTTGATGTGACTGAGTTTGTGGTCACAGGAAAACAAAGAGAAGTGAAATAACACTCTACAATGCTCCCGTGGATGGTTCCCTTCTTGCTGTTTGCATCCAAAGAGCTTTGCTAAATGAAAAAAATCCCAGAACATCAGGCTCTGATGGGACCCTTGAGATTTTATTAACTCTCTAAGTTGACAGTTTAGCATACTGAGACCAAGAGAGATAAATTTTCTAAAGTTGGGATGCTAGAGACTGGCCAAGCAAGCCTTGGAATCCTGGTCTGGGTGATCCCTGCCCAGTGCTCACTCTCCTCCAAAGGCTGCACCTCCAAGGAGCTGTTGTCATAAAAGCCCCATCAGACCAACTTTGAACATTCACATTCTTAATGGGCAAGGTCCTGGTCGAAATGTCCCTTTGCTCAAGGACTTGAGACGGTTTTGTGGTCTCTCCATGAGGTAATTCACTCAGAGGGATGCTCTGCCTTCTAACTGATGCATAGATGGATGACCAATGTCCAGGCTGAGGGAGACACATGAACAGGTACTACTTATGCAAAACTACCGTATGCAGCAACCTCTAGCTTATTTTGTACCTTGTCTCCTTTTAAATGGGCTTCCCTGGTGATTCAATGGTAAAGAATCCACCTGCCAATCCACTTGGAGACTGAGGTTTGATCCCTGGTCTGGTAAGGTCCCCTGGAGAAGGAAATGGCAATCCACTACAGTATTCTTGCCTGGGACACCCCAGAGGAGCTTAACAGGCTATCATCCATGGAGTCGCAAAGTGTCAGACACAACTTAGTGACTGAACAACAACCCCTTTTAAGTAACTCTAGTTGTGTTTCTAACACATGAAATGGTTAACTCTGTAGAAGGAGAGTCAGAGACGGTACCTAATCCCAGCTTGATGCAATTACTTTAACATGAATTTAAAATAAAATTAAAGTTAACAGTTTAAACTGATGTTTGAGGGTTTTAAAAAGATTTAGTTTCCTTTGGAACCACTGTGTTATTTGATCCAGTACAATCTTTTTGAGCATAACATCTTTACCCAAGTACCATTACTACTAGATTATGCCCATAGGTTGAGTTACAAACGTCTAAAAAATCTTAAAATTATTAAGCTCAGATTAGAGTGTTCAAAGACTATGGTGTTATTTTAGTCTCCTGCCATATCCTCCATTTACTATAAACTTGTTATATTGGCATTCAAATAAAATGTCATAAAGCAAGTATGTAAGGAGGTGTTTGGGGTTTGTTTCAGGCTTCTGCGAGCCAAGTTTGCATGGCAACCAAGATGTATAACAGAAACATTCAAATGGTCTTCATAAAAAGAAATGTTGAGCAGAGCTCAAGAGTGGAGCGAGTTCTAAGCTGGGACAGACTATCAAAGCTGGCCAGAGCCATGACTGAGGTCCAGGTAGGGGCAGCCTGTCACCCAACATTGTCTCAATAGTACTCTGAGTCCCCTTCTGCCATAGCTGCCAAGTGCTAATGCACTGGAGGCCAAGGCTCCAGAGACGCAGCTGCGTGGAATTTGCAGATGTTACAATTGAAAGGACCCTTTGACGCCATGTGAACTAAACCCCTTTCTTTCTAGGTGAGACAAGTGGAGATCCACAGTCGTGATCTGCTCCCAGTCACAGAGGTCTGAGTGTCTATTTGTAGTAGAGGCATGTAAATACGTTCTGACCCATGTTCTCTGTTGTAATGAATTCTCTTCTGTTTTCATAGTTAAACTGCAACTAAGTTTGCATTACACAAGCAAGTGTGGATGCAAAAGTCTTGCTTGTCTTGTTGACACTGCCTGAATGGTTCTGGTGACACAGCTAGCAGGACCTGTACTACCCACCAAACTGGCTGGCCTCTTCATCAACTACAGATGCTGATATCCACCACTCTAGTTTCTTTCCCAGTAATCTAAGTACACATCAGCCCCCCTCTTTACACTTAGCTTGTTAAGAACCCTGGCAAATTATATGTCATGAAGCTGCAAATCCAGATGGCTCTGCATAAAAATGGAGTGGAAGCTCTCTTAATTGACCTTCTTTTAACCAATTGACCAGTTTAAGGACCACCCTCAATTTCCTGTCTTTTATTTTATTTATTTATTTTTGGCTGCTCCGAGAGTCATGTAGAATCTTACTCCCTGCCATACATGTTAAGTCACTTCAGTTGTGTCTGACTCTTTGCGACTCCTCTGTCTATGGAATTCTCCAGGCAAGAATACTGGAATAGGTTGCCATGCCCTCCTCCTTCAGGGGATCTTCCCGACCCATGGTTAGAATCCACATCACTTACATCTCTCCTATATTTGCAGGCAGGTTCTTTACCACCAGTGCCACCTGGGAAGCCCTTACCAGGAATCAAATCTGTGCCCCCTGTAGTGGAAGCATGGAGTCTCAACCCCTGGACCACCAGGGAATTCCCCATTTCCTGTTTTTCATTTGTAATTTCATCCGACTTTTACTATGGAAAAGGCTAAACACATTCAAAATGAACCCCCAAGAATCCCTAGAAGTAGGACCACTGAGTCAGAGGATCAGTGCATATATAATTATGCTAGGTAGTACCAATTTCTCCTCTCCAGGGGGTTGGATAATTTGCATCCCATCAACAACAATATGAGGGTGTCTATTTCCCTCACAGTCTCCTTAACAGCACATGTTGTCAACATTTGGGACTTTTGCCAATATAACAGGTGAAAAATGGTATTTCCCTGTAGTTTTTGAATATGCATTTTCCTACAATGAGTGAGGTTAAACATTTTTCCATATGGGCTATGAACCATTTGTATTTTTTTTTTTTCTGTGAACTGTGTGCTCATATTTCTAGACTACTTTTCTATAAGGTTGTTAAAATTTCTATTTTCTTTTTAGCTGTCTTTTGTATATTATTTTAATCAATATAAAATTGTCATTTTTGAACATCTATGAGCAAAGAGTTTTGCATGGTTGAACCCAAACATTAGGTGTATTATCCTTGTGTAATATGTGGCCAATATCTGTTCATTGTCTTTTTAACTTTTCTTATTATTTTTGTTATGCAAAATTATTTCCTTTTAATTTTAAGTAGTCAAATTAATATTTTTTCCTTATCGCTGTTGGATTTTGAGTCATAACCAGCAAGTTTTCCCCATGGACATTAGGAATTTACCAGCTCTCTTTTTAGTGTTTGTCATGGTTTCATTTTTTCAATTTTTAAAAATTTTTTCATTTATTTTTATTAGTTGAAAGCTAATTACTTTACAATATTATAGTGGCTCTTGCCATACATTGACAACAATCAGCCATGGATTTACATGTGTTCCCCATCCTGATCCCCCCTCCCACCTCCCTCCCCACCCCATCCCTCTGGGTCTTCCCAGTGCACCAGCCCCGAGCACTTGTCTCATGCATCCAACCTGGACTGGCAATCTGTTTCACACTTG